AGCCTCTCAATTTCAGCCATCTTCTGTTGCAGCTCGTCATTCAGTCTATCGATCTCCGCCAAAAGCCTCTCATTCTCAGCTGCAAGCTTCTCATTATCAGCAGTCTTCTGCTCCAGTTCATCAGCAAGGTTCTCATTCTCAGCAATCTTCTGTTGCAGTTCATCAGTCAGCCTGTCGATCTCCGCTGCTAGTCTTTCATTGTCAGCACTTTTTTGCTGTAGATCTTGAGTAAGCTTATCGTTTTCCGCGTTTAATCTTTCTACTTCTTCCGTCAAGTTGTTGTTTTCGTTGGAAGCTCTTTCATTTTGAGTTGCGAGTGCTTGTGCTTCTGCAGTTTTTTCGTCTAACAGGTTGTTGAGCTTTTCGTTGTCGAGCATTACCTGATTGATATCATTTTCAGCTCTATTTACGGCTTCATTTTTATCGCGAAGTTCATCTCCCAAATTTCTGTTTTCCTCCTCAAGTTGACGCAGTTGATTTTGAAGGCTTTCGATGTCATCGTTTAATTGCTGGACTTGTTGTCCTAGGCCATCGTTTTCTTGTTGAAGCTGATTGCATCGCTGTACGTAATCTGTGTATTCGTCCATGCCAACGGAGAGTAGAGGTTCTGCAGCGAGTACTCGTGGTTCAATTCCTTCTCCTGGATTTGTGCTTCGGAATGATATTGGACCTAGAGTGGGTTCATGAGATCGAGCCTCGTAGGCAGCAAGCCGCCTTTCTCGATGAACCTCAAGTTCTCTTTGTTGTTGTTCAACTGTTTGTAAGAGCGCATTATTTTCATTTTCCTTTTGCTCTAGCGCAGCAAGTGCCTTGTTGTGATCATTGATTTCATTCTCTAGTTTTTGTCGTAGACCATCAATTTCGTTGTCGCGTGTCTCAATACCTGTTAACGCTTCTTGCTCAGATGCTTTAACAGAATCGAGTAAATTTTCTAGTTTCTCCAAGTTCTTTTCCATATCTTGACATTCAGCGTTTTTGTTTTCTAGCTGATGAGCAACATCATGAAGCTTATCTGTGGTATCCTTTGCTTCTTTTTCTACCTGAAGCAGGTCATGACGAAGTTTCTCTATTTCCCCTTCTATTTGTTCATTTTCCTTTGCTGCCTCATTTAGCTTGGCAAGTAGGTCCTCATTGGCTTTCTTGAGATCTGACAACTGACGCTCTAGTTCGGCGTTTTCGTCCTCTGCCTGTTTGCATTGTGCCACTTGCTCATGGAGTTCATCAAGAGTAACACAGTAGAGTGGTTCAGCTGTGTTTTCACCCTTAAATTCTGACAAATTACGCTGGGTTCGCATTTGATTTGCCTGAGTCTTCTGTAACTTGAACAGCTCTAGTTCACTTGCTTGGTCGTCAGCCAAACGCCTAAGTTTCTCAACCAAATCGCGTAGACGACCGATTTCTGCGTGGAGTTCATCATTGCGCTGCCGCAGAGCTTCTTGTTCTCGCATGGTCGATGCAGTCTGTCGACGGAATTCTTCAGCAGATTTCTCCAAGGTATATTGCAGTGAGCGATTTTCATTATGAATCTTGTCCAAAAGCATAAGAAGATCACCAATTTCACTTTCATATGCATCCTTATCACCAAGATTACCTGTCCCTGAGAGTTCCTGGATAAACTCATCAAATGAGAGCCCGCGGAATTTGTCGTCTGCCATATCAAGTGCGTGACATACCTCTACAATTGCGCGATCTAAACCAGTTTTGGGAGTATCAATGTTACGGAGCATACGCTCCATGTCACGTGGGGGAAATTCCTTCAGGCGCGCATTGATTTCATCCCTTGTTTGAGATGTGGGGTGTTGAACATCAAATGAAACCTCAAGACCATCCGGTTTGACCCCGAACACAACGTTCTGAATGCAATCATCTGGTATATGGCATGCGAGAGACTGTTCATTCTTAAATCTTTGTAGTAGTTCTTCTGGTTTCTTTTCCAGTACGGCATCCCAATTTTTCCCGTTGAAACGTTTCTGATGTTTAGTAGTAACAGTTGGCCCTTCTTTGTAGATCCACCGTTCATCATGTTTTCTTAAGTCATCAATAATATCTTGCATCTCCTTGATTTTATTATTCAATTCATTCTCTCGTGTTCCAGCATTTTCATCATCACGATTTCGAAGAATATTGAGCAAGTAGTGTTCTCGGAGGTAAAGTCGTTTTTCCTCAAGTTCGGTGGTATACATCGAGAGACAGTGAAGTTCGGCTAAAAATTCAATAGTTTCATCTGTCATCTGCTTTAACTGATCCTTAAGTTGAAAACGCATACATTTTGCATCATCAAGAACAGTATCTACTTCATCGTCTGTCAGAACACAATTAGAGACTGCCTGATCCACTGGAATAACAGAAATAACCGCTGAACGAGGAACTGTAGCTTGTACAGACGTCTTTGTAAAAGATGTAACTTGCCCCCTAGAAGCTGATGAACCACCACGTGCCAACTCTTCTTTTAACTTCATTATCTTCAGTCGACAGTTTTTCATCCCAGCTATTACACTGGCAATAGCTTCATTTTGCACTTGAACACGTGTATCTGTTGTCAACTTGCTATGTGCTTCTTGGTATGCCAAAGCACTTAGTACCCATTGATGCAGGCTACTGATCGCATCTGAGTCTCGCGCTGCTGCGGCTGATGAATACCGCGAATCAAGCAATACACTCAAAATACTTTCAGGGGCTGGGTAAATTCGTCCTGCAATATCTGCGTGAATAAGTTCCATTATAGCATCTGGTCTCCTGTACTCCATTTGAATTTCAGGCCACGAGAGACAATTATTAATGGTGGGTTCGTTCTGGGCCAGTGAAAGCACCGCCTTCAGTACCGCCACAGCCACTGCTGAGGGACGTTGCTGTGTTGTCACCTCACGCATGTGTACTTCATCTACCGCCTCCACTGCCTCCTTTGCTCCTTCAAACACAGATCTGGCAGCTGAAACGCGATCCTCATTTTCACTACGTATAGCTGCTAACTTATCACGCGCGCTGGAAAGCTGCTCCTGAAGCATTTTCATGCGTTTCATTTCTTTTTCGATCTCATTCGATATAATGCTCTTCAATGTATTATGGTCACCCTGGCTGACACTCCACTGCTGCAGAACGGCTGTGTATTCCGTGAGCGATATCACGGTGCCTAGTGTCCACTGCCAAAGCTCACCACTGTTAACATAGTCATACGCCACAACTTGCCCTTCACGCAGTTCCGGTGACTTCTTCTTTATGGTAGTTAGAAGCGTCATGGTAAGTTCCTCCCTCTATATGTTTGTGTATATAATAACAATATAATAATAATAATAATAATAATAATAATAATAATAATAATAATAATAATAATAATATGGTGTTATCTCCTTTTCTTTGCTTTTCCTTGAAATTTGTTTCTCTACTCCTTTGCTGTTGCTGTTAGTTTACCAGCTACAAATACAAAGAGCAACACAGTAACGCTCTCTCACGAACAGGAGAGTCTCCTTTTTTTTTTTTTCGTTCGCTTCTCTGGAATGACAATGGAACCTCACCAAATGTAAATCGCCTTCAAGTATTCCAGTCGATTCACAATGTGTAATTGTCTTCTATGGCGAATGAAGATTTGTCCACGAACCGCAGATATTCAGTACACACGCACACAAGTACACACTCTCAAACCAAAAAAAGAAATATAAATACAAATACGTAAATAAAAAAAAAAACAATGAAATGTGCAGTCCCTTTTCTACCGTTTCTTTTTGAACTTTACTCACACCTTTAATTCTCTCTTCTGGAGTGTCAGAAGGAAAACAATTACAATGTGAGTATGTTGTAATAGAGAACACAGAAAATGCAATCCTCGATGAATATCCTATCTTGATAATAACCTCTACAACTTTTCTCTCTCCGGTGTTGACTAATATTCTTAGTATTCTTCTACTATGTGGGTTTTAGCTACTTTCTTCTCTACTTTCTTCAAGAAGATTAATGCTAAAATATGATAGACGCTAATAGGAAAGTTCCTACCACCTTACCTACTTCGCTTTATAGTTGTTTTTTTTCTCTTTTTTCTTCACTCTTTTATCTTTTTAGCTCCTTGCTAACCAACAGGTGTCTCCTGTCAGTTTCCCAAGTTGCTATTTGTTTCCTGATGTTGATGTTGATGTCACACACAGAATGTATGACCCTATGAAGCTCCTAAAGAAATACAATATATTACTTTCTTCAGTGAGCCCTATCGTTTATTCGTTTCTCCTTTTGCTTTATCTGTGCCAATTGCTGTTGGTTCTGTTGTCCCCTCTCACTCAGTCGAACTAACCAATTCAGTATTTTCTTCTGCTTCCTTTTTTTTTTATTATCGTACTATAATTGTCAGAGAAGTAAGGAAAACATAAGACGAAGAAAAAGAAAAAAAAAAAAACCATTTATTCTATAACAGAGAGAAAAACGGAACGCTACACCAAAACCGCCACAGTGCAAATAAGAAAAATAAATAAATAAATAAATAACTCATACTGCTCCACTCACAAGTCACTCACACAAAAAACAACATGTGATGCGACAATTCCACACTTACACGCCCTGTATACAAATACACCAGTCCACCCACATCACTCTCATCACAAGTAAAACCAAAAAAAAGGTAGAACTCTGTCAATTAATAAACATTACGATAAACATTTAACCGTGGCAACAGCACCTTTTGCAGGAACACATACCGCAGATTACATCCTTTATATTCTAAGAACTTCTAATAATGCAGAAACCTTGACAAAAACAAAAAAAAAAAACATAAAAAGAAAAATATGCTTCATTGTTCAGAGAAACATACATACCATACATATATATAAACGCCACACACCATGTTAGCAACCCACATTTCAACGTCACAGATAACCTCACTGGGGGTCTGAATAATTACCCAACAAAAAAAAAGAGGATTAAAAATATCAAAAATAAAAAGAAAAAAGAAAAAACAAGAAATACAGGTTGAGCTAAACACGAGTCACACAACTACACTTATTAGAGACACGATGACAGCGAGCAATGTCAGTAAAAAAAAAAAAAAGGCAGCACTCAACAAGAATACCTTCACAAGAATAGCTGACATTTTCTCACAGACAACCCGCAGTCACCCAGCAGCGAACATCTGCCTGCATAAAAACATCGTTCATGAAAACGCAGGAGGGACGCTTGTATTATCTCTCTTAACTCAGTTCTGTGCTCAGTTATTAGCTTTATATTTCCCCTCCCCCTGATGTTGCCCTTTTTTTCAAAGTGGGCAATATTATTTCTTTTGATGTTATTAGATTAACTGTTCTACCAACTTTTTTTTGTTCATATTTTGTTTTGTTTGTATATCTTTGTTGGTATTCCCCATGTCAAACAAATACTTAAATGTGCAAAAATAGACCAGTTTTTGTCTTACCAGAGTCATCACCAAACGGAAATAAATCCAGAAAAAAGTGGAATAAAATAACAAGGTTTCTCGTATTCTTCTATGACTCTTTTTCTACTCAGTTATACCACGTTGTTGGACCTGTTCAGTAAATATTTTAGGGAATATATCTCATTCCTGTTTATTTCTGCATTTGGGCAAACATCTTGCACCCGCACAACAATCGAACATAATCTCTGAATTGATGCAATTAATATTTGTGGTTAAACTGTTTATCATGTTAAAAAAAAAAAAAGATCCATTAAAGTTTTTTTATTGCAATTTAACTTTTACATGAGGGAAAAAAGAAAGCAAACTTATTGCACGATCCAAGAAAAATTACCTTAAGTATAGATGAGTTTTTGCCACATTTGTTTCGCTTGTTTATGGTAGAAAATCTTACAATGTTCGTAGTTTATTCTTTATGCAAAATGAAAAAAAACATGGTGGTATTCCTTGTTGTTGTTGTTGTTGCCATACTATTTTTCTGCACAGGTATTAGGGGCAATCCACAACCCTATTTTTGAGCAAAAAAAATAGGGAAAATAGGGATTCGTGACTATTCTTTGCCACGTCACACTGGGTATAGTGCTGAAAACATCGTTATCAAAAAAAAAAAGGGACTCCCTTCCCCAAACCTCTTGCGCTACTAAAAATTCTCTATTGTCTTCTTGATGCACTAATTTTTCACTCCATAGCTACTGATACGACGTCATTTCTTCGTAATATCAAAGATACATACGGTTCCCATTTACATCATTTGATTCTGGGGTTGAGGATACGCAGTGACATTGGTCTAAGAGAGTTTTATTCTCATTCTCTTGCTAACATTATCGTAAGAGTAAACCCCCCGTAATTTAGGGATCCATCTGCATATATATATTATATTATATTATATTATATATATATATATATATATATATATATATATATCATTAATAACGTAGAAATACAATGGCTACATACATTACCTACATTACCAAGACAAGACCATGCTCATCAGAAAAAAAAAAAAACCATGGAAAAAAAAATTTGATTCTGAAGGCGCAATATCTTCAGAACCCAGCGTCAGAACAAAAAAAAAAAATGATTTTTAAACGAAATGACCGAATTTAAGGCATCATCCTCCTTTTCCTAACATTAAACGTAATAAAAAGAATTTTCTCGAAAAACAATGTAACGGAAAAAAAAACATAGTCTCTCAATTCACGACGAGTATTTCTTTTCGCGGCCATAAAAAAAAAAAAAACGACAAGTGTAAAGTACCCCATTTAAGTGCATACAAAAGCTTTCGAGATGAAGAACCCACTCGTCCCTCCAGTTGTAATAAGACAACGCACAGACGGAAACAATAGTCTCTGTGGCACAGCAAAAAAAAATATCTGAGTTAGTAAAATAGAAGCTAGAACAATATTGATGGTGGAGTATCCTAATAATCACATGGTTAATCATTCCAATCTATATATATATATATAAAGTGGGGAGAAAAACGTCGTACTTTTAATATAGCGAATAATTTATATAATAATTTAAAGAAAAATTAATAATACTAAGCCAACATCTTAAAGAAAAAGAAAGAACCTCAAGAAGTCTAAATGAGGAAACCAAAAATAAAATTCATCCCAGATCAAGAAAAACCTGTACGACGGTATGACATCAGGCAAATTAGCAGCCCTCCCAAACTACATCCCGTTAAACTTTGCCCAAAAAATAAAATAAAAAAAAAAAAACACTCTTCCATTAAGACAAAAAAAAAAAAAAACGTTTTCACAAGTTTTAACGCCAAGAAAAAAAAAAAAATTTCAAAACGAAACCCACAGATGAAGGCAGAAAACATCACCCTGTCAATATGATCTCACTCACCACACATACAGACATCACATCTTTTAACTTTCACTTCGTCTCGCTGTGGTATCATTTAATATTCAGAAAGTCAACCACAACTACAAATAATTCTCATTACTGTAATTTCCCTCTAAAAAAAGGGAAGGATTTACTCGATGTCCTTCGTCAATGGAAATCGAACAGAAGAGTATATGAAACAATTTCCAACACCAACACCCACTGAACTCATGAAAAACAATTTAACAATAGATTATTATCACAATTGCATCCAATAAAGGTAGCAAATGGTAGGTTAGAGGTCAGATTAAGGAGGAAATAAGTCAACATTTCACCTTATAGAAAAAAAAATAAGAGTAAATCTCCTGATATTATCTTGGGGTAGGAATTACAGAAGGAACCATTCTCCTCTTATTATTTCGATGTAATCCTGAAACAGAGTTAGAGGTTTGTAAACCTCATACGCAGTGTTTTTTTTTTTTTCAGACTTTTTTCTTGTAAAATCCCAGAAAACTGTTACATTCCAATAGAAATCATTCACCTCTTGGCTCACCCTAAACAAGTAATAATGGGCCAGGAAATATATATATATAATCGTTAATGTCGTGCGCAAACTTCAAAATCTTTCAGGAAAGTCAAAAATAGTACATCAATAGATTAATCTCATGAAACTCCACGTTGGAAAACTACTGTATATATTACATTTCCAGATGATTTGTCCGTCTTAAAAGAATTAAGGATAGCTATTCTACGACAGAGTTCAAAAGCATATATTTCTTTTTTTTTTTTGCGTGTATCGATTTCTCCCGCAAATTTTACAGCAGTATATGTATCCCAAGGATAAATCCCAGCAATCAAATGCATGGAAATAATCTGCTCGCGTCATAATATGGCTGAAGCCAAATCCTGTAATTAATATCCAGAAGTATAAATGGATAAGAATCAATTGAAATCAAACTATTTGCTACAAGTACTGTTTGCAACAATTACAGCGTTGTGGTGGTAAAACACAATTGAGTGATCACCGAAATTAAACAGAGAAAGAAACGAATTGTCAAACAGTGATGCACATAAGAACGAACCCCAGTGACCCCAAAACTGATTTTCTTAAAAAAGAAGAGACTAAAGTCCACATGAACCTATGGCATAAAGGCAGACAAGACCAAAATAAAATAAAAAAAACACCTGTCGTAAAGTCAAAGGCGTCCGGAGGAAACCCAACACCCGCCACCGAAACGAAACAATCCAGACAGGCCAAACGAGAGCGCCACCCCCGCCACCGCGGTCCGAGGGGAAACATGGGGGACGGAACGCCCGCGGAGAATCAGCCGGGCAGGGATGACGAACCCCGCTGCACCAAAGAAGGGTCCCATCCTCCGCGACTTCTGTTGGGGGTGGGGGGCGGGGTCAATCTCAAACCTTCCCTCTGGGAAGTGGCGGGCCGAGGTGGGAGCCCACCTTTCGTTATCAGTTGATTTGGCGCTTTGGTGCGCTCAGGGTGGAAAACGGCACGAGAAAAAAAAAAAAAAACACGCGCACAAAATACCGTAAAACCCTGGACGGCCTCGGGCGCCCACGCGGTTTTCCCAATCAAGGGCGAAACCACACGAAAACCCAACAAAAGACGGCGAAAGGGACCGACTTTTTCGGCACACGAAAATTTCGTCCGAAGCATGTTTGCGAGCCCCTTCCGGTTTCCGGAGCCGCAAAGAAAAAGAAAAAAACGCAGCACCCCGGTGGGCCAGAGGAGGGGCCCCATTTCACGGAGGCAGAATGCCGCACACCCGGCGAACCCTTTCAGGAAAAGGCGGTTGACGAACATCTTCGCCCAAGACCGTTTGTCAAATCACCCGTGCCTATTCTAAAAGGGCTTCCCGGAGAAGAAAACGCATTGGAAGTAGCATTTCGTGGGCCCCCGTAGCCCGCTAGCGGACCAGCCATCCCGATAGCATTCAGGAAAAGCACAACGGCTTGCAGCAAAGCATGCCTGGATGGGCAGAGCGGTTCGTTCGATCCAATCTTATTTGACCTTTCTTTCGCGAATAAGGGGCGCAAAACGGCGACATAGAGAAGTGACCTTTAACAAATTCTTGCGGCACCAGCCCTCGGAGAAAGGCCCAACAAAACAGACCAACATGCCGCCCGCCAAAAACAGCTGACGCGTTTTTTGAAAGGGGTTCCCTCCTTTCACCCAAACCCCCTATTATACCACGAAAGCGCGTTTTTTTTTTTTTTTTGTTTTTGTTTTTGTTACTATGTGTTTTTCCCCTCCGTCGCTCCTAAGGGTTGGGTTTCAAAAGACCCCAAGGGAAGTTTCGCCCACGCCCTGTCAAGATTTGCTCTTTTAGACGTTCTCCTCTGCCAAAAAAAGGTGGTGGCTTGTAGCGTTTTCGTGGGGCGGGCAGCCCCGTTCTCCGGCAAGCCGTGCGCCAAACACCTTTGCAGCCGCGACGCGCGGGGAACAAGCTTCGGCAGGATCTTGCGAACAAAACGGCCCACATTTAAAGTTCTACAGCGGTCAACGCGCCAATTTCAAAAAAAAAAAAAAACAATAGTAAAAAATATATCCAGCCCTATTCCCCATCTCTGCCGAACGCGTTCGGGCTAAAGGAAGTGAACGTTATAGAGATTGCGGTTCTTTTTTCGACCAAAGATGCTGCGTTTTTCTTTTCTTTTTCGCGATCGAAGAATCCGTGAATGATTTTATACTTTTGAGTATGACATTACCATTATCCCACTGAAACGCCGCATTGGGCGATCTTTTGAACTATTTTCATGGTACAATTATCAACCTTTTTTCTTTTCGCCACTGATCCGCAGACCATCGAATCAAGGGAGGATGCATCCCATTTGTGGTGCTGACAAGGGCGGTGTTGCCAATATAACTATTACAGTAGTAGTTTTGGGACGATGTCGAGAATATAAAGACCAACTATGAAGCCCTCGCTTGTGCGACTGGATTCCGTAAACGCATCTACCCAACACCACGCCGAAACAGAAAGTTGCTCAGAACATAACAAAGAAAATAAGATGAAAAAAAATTCAAGCAGAGTATTGCAGCGATTTCGTCATATACTGCAATGAAGTTCTTGGATATATGACACTTTGATGCCTTTGATACCAGTATCTTCCTGTATAAACCTTTTTCTTCTTCTTTATTGAAATGGTGCAACCACTAACAGTTATATGTATATTCTTTTCCTTTTTACTTTTTACTTTCACGCAGAAAACGTACGAATGGTAAAGATATCTATAAGAATCTCATAGATGGATGACCACGAATTTATCTCATCCCCTTTGGTTTTAACAGCATCTAAATTCAATTTCCACCACAGGAGGGCAACAATATTACTATCTCTTTGGTCTTTGCCCCACCCCGGCAACTTCCACAGAAGGGTGAAATGTGTAAAAAAGGTACCTCTGCAGATGGAACAAAAGCGCATGTCACAGGGCTTTCTCGAATTAAATTTTTCTCCCTTCTAAACACGGCTGGCCTTGGCGCTGTGCGGCGTTTGAAACTTGACGGCCGGCAAGCACTCCAGAAGAAAGGGTTCTCGGCCCACGAATTCCCCTAAAGAATATGGGCCACTGGATCTTGGCACCGCCCCCCGACGTCCAAACCCTAGAGGGGGTCAGCATTCTTGAAAATGCATGTTGTTGAAAAAATTATTTGACTTGGTTTTTTGGGGGGGTGGGGAAAGTGCCTCCTTTTAATTTTCTTGATTGCTTTTGATTTCCTTAAAGAAAATCATGCGCTCAACCACGGCGCCGCGACAAGGTAGCAAATTATCGCCAAAGTGGCTATCGAACAAATCGTCATCTCTTCCTTGACGGTTTTTCTTCTGCAGCCGTAAACGGCAGCTCCCGCCCTGTTAAGGTATATTTGGAGGTGGTATAGATAAAACCTAGCTATTATGTATGTCAACTCTAGTTTTAAATAATCTTCAAAAATGCCTCTTGTTCTCGCTTTCTTGAAGCGGCGGCTGGTCGCATGATGTCGTTCACATTGTGAAAACGGTGAAGTCCATCACTGAAAATTTGTTTAAACTCACTTGTCATAATGGCAAATCCATATTATTTTCGTGTAAGGCAACACGAAAGTAATTAATATGTCCAAAAAAAAAAGGTCCCGAGCTTGAAATTGCAGCTAAGTTCCAACCTTCTTTGATTCCGAGGATGTCCATGAAAACAAGGTTCAGACCCCAGGGACCCCACATCAACGATGCCAACTGTAGAGGCTTGCTGATGCTTGCTGGCGTTATTGCCAAATCTAATGCAAGGTGTTTCAAGGCAGTTGCGCGAAATTGGCGCACCCAAGAAACCATTTAAGTTGGCGAGTGTGGGATTTTTGATTCTTTGCCTTCTTCTTTGCGTGCGCCTTGCGCCCTCTTTTTTGTGAACATTCCGTCTTGTCGCAGTGCACGACTGCGGTTGCCACAGCTTATATTGTTTCTTCTGGTGGTTAATTTTGTATTCTCCACTATTTCTTTTACCTCTGCAGACGTTCGCTGGCTACACCTCTCAGTTTGGAGTGAACTGCAACAAACATGGTTTCAAAAGATCACTTTCGAGTGAAAGCGCCAGGTTTTTCACGCAGAGGCCCCGTCCCAACATTTGGTCCGCCCCTTTGCGGGCATCCCAAAGCAAAGTTTTTATTTCCTTTTTTTTAGGTATACAGAATGCGAACATATGGTTAAGCGCCATCCTTGCCCCCATGGAGGTTTAGCGCCGTCCGGGGTTATCGAGCTAACTGCTTTTCCTTTGCCAGTTTCAGATGCGAAATGAAAGGGGAAAGTCACCCCCATGAACTACAGGAAATTGCAGGCAGAAAGCTTTCAGATCCTCCTCACTGTGAGGTTTCTTTTCAAATACCCAGTTTCCCTCAATGCACTTTGTAACGCATTTAGCCCCTAATTCTGGCGCCTCCCATCCTAAAGGGGGGCCGGGCATGCCCAATCGAGATCCCAGAAAAGCCTCTGGTTTTTTTTTTTGCCAGCTTGCGAAAAGAATGATCGGGTCTTACTATTTTTTAGTGAACAAATTCTGTGCTGGGGTTTTAACATTTAGGTAAATGAGTTTTCTTTCCAATCTTACAGTTCTGTCTGGCCGTGGGTTTCTGAAAAGCCCACCCAACCCAACCCTCTCCACCACGACTGGGAGGCGGGCTAAAAAGGGGTTCCCCAGCACACTTCCATTCCCTCAGTTCTTGATATGTTTTTCAACAGTATAACTGTCTGGTAAAATACAATTTATTTTTTATAAACCATGGGGTTCAAATTCGTGGAGGTTAAATACATGGTTTTCTTTGTTCTTCTGTTTTCTTGTTTATGGTGGAAGAAAGGCTAAGATTATTCTTTTTAAGAAACGGTGGGCAACAAGAAGGCCTACGCAATGGGTTGGGGTATGTTCCGCTGCCCGTTAAAATAAATATTGAGTTGGCGCCCTTCGAAAGATAAAATGCCAGCAAGGGGTCGGCTTCTGCAGCTGCCTTTTTCCTTGGCGCCAAATAAAGGAAAATGCTGTAAGGCAATTATTACCGCAGTAAACTTTTGAATGGTCTTTTGGCGGTCATCCGTTCCGATTCCGAAAGTGACAAACGTCTTTTTGCCAACATCCATTAACAAAAGAGATCCCAACGACCCCCTTTAAAAGGCCATTCTTTACCAAAACTTCTTATAATTATAGCCAAGAGAACACATTATTCTTTATTTTAGCCAGAAACAGGTCAGGCGAAAACAAAACTTTGGCAAACCAGAAGCGATAAAAAAGCGTAGATAAATTTCTCTTTTGGGCTTCCTTTAACCCTTGCGGGAAAAGCAGGGCACCCTGCCACTTACGGCGCCATTTTAAGTCCAGAAATCAAAAGGTGTATATCGTATCGTCGCGCTGGCTGCAACCGTAATTTTCAGCGATTTTCTTTGCGAGGTTTGCATCAACGGCGCGGGTTTCGAAAAGGGGTGGGGGACGCCCCCCCCACCCCCCGCAAGCAAGAGAGGGGCGCGAGAAAATGAAAATACATTTATTTTAAAGCACCCACCCGGGACGCATTCGTCTGCTTTTGCCTCGCCCCCTTTGGCCAATTTATTAATGTTTTGCAACGTTTTCTTTTTAAGAGGATGTATCGCCCCTGAAAGCATCCCTAATAGGGCGGGTTCAAAAACCAAAGAAGGTCCCATGGTGTATCCTCTTGCCCTTGGGCGAGGGCCCCCTTCGGATCACGAATGGGCAAAAAACCCGGCAGGAATTTTACCCCTAACAGAAAACCGCTGCGGACAGCAGGGGCTTCTAAGAACATTTTTGACGATGTTGGGGTGTTGGATGCCGCCCGTTATGCCCCAGACTGGGGGCCGGAAAACCTTGCAAAAGAATTCCCTTTAGCGCCCGGGCCCCAGCTGCGTTTTCAGGGGGGAACGAAACAGGGAAAAACAGACTCCTGTCACTTGTGGCGGGTTCCCTGGTTCGGATGGTGCCCACCGAATGTTCGCAAAGAGTGGGGAAATCAATTTCCAGCTGCACGCAAGACGCCCCCTAGGCCCACTATGAACTTACAGAACGGGAATCTTTGGGAAGCCATAACGGCCCGACCGTCTCTTCGCTAAGACCGGCAGGGTGAACCAGGCAAAAAAAAAAAAAAAACCTGCCAATTTCAAAACGGTATCCGGACCCACAAGGCAGATGGTGGGCAATCGAACGAGGAGAATGCGGGATTTGCCCTCTTAATTATTTTTACCTGCGTTGGCTGGTGTCGTTTCCAAAAGATTTTTGAAAAACATTTTTAAAATTTGGCCTCCCGCAAATCTGTGAGAGAATGGACCCCAACTCCGCAACAACACACTAACTTTATTAAAAGAAATTATTCCCAATAGCAGTTCGAAGGTGTTTGTTTTTCCTCCTATTTTGCCGTTTAGCCCCATTTTCAGAACCGCCAGCTGCCGTAGTAGAACATCGTCTCAAACATGAAAGGCGGCGGGAAAAAGAAATTATCTAGCCTTCCATTTGGGCATACGGCATTTTAGAAAAGAGGAGATTGTTTATGACTGTTTGAAAGGGGCGCGGGCCTTGAGCAAAGGTAATGCTTTTCACCACACATTGTGAAGCTGGAGGGGCGCGGGGGTCATCGAGGGAAATCCAAGAAATGTCCTTTCATTTCTCGTGATGTGCCCTCTCTTTTTTTTTTAAGGCACCACGCCTCAGCAGGTGGAAAGGTTAGGAAGGATATCTTCACCATTGGATACGTTAATTACTGCTTGCAATATTCAGCCTGTACCTGATCTGATCTCACGATTTCTGGTTAGCCCACGTTGGTCGCAGCATGCAAACCCAGCGGCGGGATGTACAAGTTCGATGGATTGGGACAATTCGTGGGTATCACCGTCCGGCGGTCGGCAATTTAGAAGTTTACAAGTCCCTCGTGCTGATTGGAAGACGCGGCCGCGCAATGGCAAAGGTAAAAGGGCAAACCATTTTCAGAGCACCGCAAACTCTCTTATCACATTGGGGTTTTTCCATATCATGGGAGGTTCTTTTTTTTTTTCTCACGTTCAATCCTCCCAAAGCGGAATGGTGGTGATTCTTTTTTTTTTTTTTGACAGCTTGCGAAAAGAATGATCGAGTCTTACTGACTTTTATATCTTGTATGGGTTTTAACTATTAGGAATATTTTTACTTCTTTCCTTTCCTAACAGCGAGTCAATAGTAAGTTTCTGAAAAGAAAGTAGTAAGTTTTTTAAAGTAAGGTATATGATGACGACAACCATTCAGCCCTATACACCACTAGAGTGGAGGATTTGTACTAAGGCTTTCCAAGATTTTGTTCGCCAATATGGCCCAACAGCATTTTCCTTTGATTTAAGACCAGCGGATATGCCGCAACACACTTTTCATCTTGACAGTATTCTAACGATAGAAGGGGATACTCTCAAATTAAGAATACGACCACACGACTATATGGACTGGGAGACCGTATGCCCGTCCATTACTGGTTTTACTATGCCTCGGAATCAAAATTTTCTCCAAATTTTCGAGACGACATATAACTTATTCAGATCAGAATGGTCCGCACTGGGAGAGGAAGCTCTAAGGCTTCATCAAGAGTATAACAGTGCACGAGCACAGTTAGAACACGAAGCTTTTCGGGTACAACAAACCGCTAATATACAACTCCAGGAATTACAGAACCAATTGGCACAGATGCATCAAGAGGCTACCCTCACTTCAACGCAGCAGGCGCAACTGCAGCAGCAAGTACAAGACACGCAAGCGCAACTGGCTAACACGCAAACCCTATTGGCTGCATCTCATGCACAACTAAACCAAACGCTGGATGAATTACGACAGTTGCAGAATCAGCACGCGGCAACACAAGCGCAATTAAAATCGGCGCTGGAAAACTTAAATGAAACGGAACAACCCACTTTTCCGGGTGAAACGAAGGAACCAAAGGTATCACCACAGAAAGGGAGAAATTTATCAAGCTGGGCATGGAAGCCTAAACCCGCGTTGTCGGAAAATGAGGAACGCCCGAAGTTGGGTCTTCGGGGAATGCAGGAATGCCGCCAACCAACGTGGCTAGAGAGCAGCCGGCCTATAGAGAAAATCCGTACGTTTGACGGCTTAATGGAATTTTTGCTGGATACATCACCAGCTGATGTTGTGACGGCTTATCAGCAAATTTTTCCCCGACCAGTTAATCCTGGTCTATTCTATCAAGATGCATGGGATATGTTCGTACAATGGTTGGACTCCCTTCGAAACGAGGGAATTTCAGAACAGTTCGTCCAAGTGGGACGACAAATATATACGCACCTCAGAATAATTCAGGCAGCAAGAGATAACCCAGGCGTTAAGATAACCGCACTACGAGAAGCTTACGAAGAGCCTTGGAAAAAAGACGATCCAATCGCGCAAGCCGTAAATAAGGTAAAACGGAAACAGTCAGTACCACCGCCAAGTAAGGCACGGTGTTACAGATGCGGTCGCATGGACATTACAGCACGTCGTGCCGTGTGAATTTACAGAAAGAACCATTTAAACCAAAAAACGATTATCGGCCCCGGAAACAATGAAAACCGGGGCCCGGACAAATAGGATACGTAAAGAAGAACAACTTTCACGAATGGACGCGTCCACTCAACACCGTGGTTTTCTTCCGTTCCCATATTCAAACGGGTATACAAAAAATTTTAACAGTAAATACGCAACATCAAAACAAACACGAGACAGTAAAACAACTCCAAGAGGTTTTCCCATCAGGTACACTCCCCCAGGGTACGACTTCAATAAACGCGGTAACATTGATTCCAGCAAGATCCCACGATCCGTACATCGTGGCGTTGGCTTCAGAGGCCAATCGGATCGCCAAACGCATGTGGACTCAGACAACATGGGAGCAAAGAGGCTCCATAATGAGAAGATTCATCGATTTCGCGATGCAACACAGTTTAGACG